CACAATAGTTGTCTGTGATTCCGAACTTTATGTGCGTGTCCGAAGCTGAAATAGAGTAGAGTCACTGGCGAAATTTCGTTTAAAATTCGTTCGTTGCGGAAATTTCGTTTCGGAGAAAGAGAGTAGAGCTCCAGTTCGCGCGGCTCACGGCATACTATCCGTTAAAAACCTTGCGAATACCCTCTACGCTGTTAAAGAACCTAACGAACACACTGTTTAAAGTCATAACACTGTTCTTTGTTTCTTCGTATTAGTCGGGCAAAATACAATAAATTCAATTCAAATTCTTCTTAACTATTAAGTCATACATACGTAAGTTTCAATAACCAAGAACTCGTAACATGCAATACGCTTAAACAAAGTATCTCTATAATTTTTATTATTTTAAAGCATGTAACTACTTGATGTTTAAATCTAAAGAAAACATAACTAGAAAAAATTCCACGCGGACCAGGTAGCAGACGGGACTCGAACCCGCACCCTTCGCAATCCGGGCGAATGCACTGACCAATTATGATACCGCGGCCCTCACGGAACGCGTCGAAATTCTTCTAGCCATTCTTAAGCTGCAAGGCAGCGCCATCTCTTCGCATTATAGGTAAACCACAATGAGGGCCGCGGTAGCATAATTGGTCAGTGCATTCGCCCGGATTGCGAAGGGTGCGGGTTCGAGTCCCGTCTGCTGCCTGGTCCGCGTGGAATTTTAAAGTATCTCTATTAATCAAAGCACTACATAGATGTTTCCAATCGATGATATTCTTGTGTCTAGTTTTGTAATGGATATTGTAGCACGGTTCTTCTACGAATACTGAATAGGTAGGAAAAAAATATTGTACCATTCCAAACAGCTTTCACTGAGCCAATTTGAATAAGGTACAATTTCATATCATTTCTTGTACGTGTTCATTTTATTCATCACTTACCAAAGGTTTATTTACTCTAACCTTTGCGTCAAATATTTACAGTTGCTGAGGTTCGTGACCTGTCCAAATAACCCTCTCGTGGTCAATATTTGCTTATTTTTTTCAGTTGCACATGTATGTCACGGTAAAAAGAATCTAAAATCTGATTAAAGAGTCAGAGTGTTAGAAAAAAATCTAATTATCGAAATTAAAAGCTTTTCCAAGTGACGCGTGGTCTTATTCCATTGCTATCGCATCAACTTTAATCAAACTTATAAAGACTAATTAAATATAGGGATGAAACGATACGATTAAATACAAGTACCTAGTAGATACCAAGTACTTTTGGCATTGGTGCCGATTCTAGCGTGATTCTCTAAACTTATAACTAAATTTAACATCAGTCTCTCCTTTTCATTCTGTATAGAGAATGACAAGGATGCACTGTTGTCAAATTTAAGTTTAGCTTTAGAGAATCATGCCAGAATCGACATCATTGGCATTTGTATCGGTACTCGGTCGGTCACTCCCTGAAAGTGTCAAAAAAACTCATAAGCAGAAAATTTACTCTATGTTTTACGAATTATTGTTTCGCGAACGCTTCTTTTCTACTGCTCAGTTGGCAGCCTTGCGTATGATTTATATTTATTCCAATATATTCAGTCAGTCGTTCGTTCATCGCATTGCGTAAGCCGTTATTTTGTTTTCGATTAATAAAACCGTGATTGAATTTGTACTTGTAATATCGTTCGTCAATATTTATCGATACAAGTAAGTATCGATACTCTTCATTAGATACCGAGTAGGCATCGATACTTTATGACCGATGCAGTATCGAGTAAAAGTATCGATACCTAAATGGTATCGTTTCATCTCTAATTAAGTATCTCTTATCTATTAGACAAGTCCGTCCGTCCGTCCGTGGTGCTGTTTCAGCGGCCAAACCGTAAGAGATAGATAAAGAGAATGTTTAAGTTATAAGTTGAGAATAGTCTGATAAGACTACAAACCGGATGTGAGTAACGTAGCACTTCCGGTTTTCGAGAAATCACGTGATTTCTATTTCAAACGAAACCACACAAAATCTCCGAAGTTCTCAATTAATTAAATACATTTTTTTTTTGGTGAACATTTGGTTCACTGGTTTGCTAGTTATAATATAAGTGATAAGTGCGGGTGAGCTGTTCGTGATTCTTTTGCTTATCATTAAAAAAAACATTTTCCTTTCAGCACCCATTCCTGACAAGGTATTACTTGAACTTAATTTAAAACTAATCTTTGGCGATATGGTTAGACTATTGTATTTATTTAATTAAGTGTCCCCGCATACGGGCCACCGGCCACAACTACAAAACGCCGCCACCGGCATATTTCCTGTAGTTTTCATACATTTTATGTGGACTCGCCATGAAGCGTGTGGCGGCCACTGGTGTTAACCGTGTGCGGCGAGTCCATATATACAGTGGCGGCCTAAGCCCGTCAGAGGCCCGGGGCGGCAAAGCTGAATGAGCTTTAAAAAAAATGTAGATTCTTATGTTTATTTCGTTAAAACCAGTCTTGTCAAATCCACCATAATATTGTATCAGATTGTCAACTGCTACAGCCAGAGCGTCATCTGAAGCCTCTAGCATAAACATTGTTTCAATAATTTGGAAAATATTTTTGATTTGTTTAATAGCCCAATTCGAAAGTTCTTGTATAAAGCGGTCTATGCATTCATACATTGACCGACGTATTTCTTCTTGAATTGATAATCCAGCATCATGTGCTGATTCACCCGGCATCTTCTTTTTACTTTCACTATTCCTGGTTTCTTGATGTTGATGAACCACCTAAATACTTATTCAAGGCGTTTAGTTTGGTGATTCCTGTATCCAGAGTCATTTATGGAGATCGCAAATATTGTTTGACTTAAATAGAATGTAGTGAATGTAAATGTACGCGTACAAGAGTAAAATATTTGCACTTCATTCCTTCAGAGATTCTTGAGGAAGTACCCGCTACAAAGACGGGAATTCCCCCAGCGTATTGGACGCGTTCAGCAAAATTTAAAAATATTAGTACCGCGTAAAAAGTTTAGATTACTGTAGTGTTTTGATCTTGATGAAATTATGTAGGTACTAATCACATTTTTAAAGTCTTGTTTAGGATTTGATCAGGGGAACCCGAAGGCATTTGGAGGCCCCCCGAGATCGGAGGCCCGGGGCGGGCCGCCCCTTCCGCCCCCCTGTTAGTCCGCCACTGCATATATAATGTATGAAAACTACAGAATATATGCCGGTGGCGGCGTTTTGTGGTTGTGGCCAGTGGCCCGTGTGCGGCGACACTATGATTCATTTACTTCGATATTAAAACACCTGATATGTTGGCATTCAAACTTAATGGCTACTGTGAAGCTAAAGTAGTAGCTAAGCTGTGAAGTAAAGGAAATCTTGTGCTTGCGAGGAGTGTCACTGATTTAAAACCTTGTGAAACTCGACCAGGTTACACCGGTCTTGGTGAAGGAGCGACTGAAGCATTGCAGTTACGTCTCCGCTTCCGATGACGATAATCTCTTATCTATTAGACAAGTCCGTCCGTCCGTCCGTGGTGCTGTTTCAGCGGCCAAACCGTAAGAGATAGGTATAGAGAATGTTTAACTTATAAGTTAAGAATAGTCTGATAAGACTACAAACCGGATGTGAGTAACGTAGCACTTCCGGTTTTCGAGAAATCACGTGATTTCTATTTCAAACGAAACCACACAAAATCTCCGAAGTTCTCAATTAATTAAATACTTTTTTTTTTTTTGGTGAACATTTGGTTCACTGGTTTGCTAGTCTCTTATCTATTAGACAAGTCCGTCCGTCCGTCCGTGGCGCTGTTTCAGCGGCCAAACCGTAAGAGATAGATAAAGAGAATGTTTAAGTTATAAGTTGAGAATAGTCTGATAAGACTACAAACCGGATGTGAGTAACTTAGCACTTCCGGTTTTCGAGAAATCACGTGATTTCTATTTCAAACGAAACAACACAAAATCTCCGAAGTTCTCAATTAATTAAATACATTTTTTTTTTTGGTGAACATTTGGTTCACTGGTTTGCTAGTATTTATATAATTGATGATATTGGTAAAGGAGGTACAGAAGCCTTTTCTTAAGTACGCGGTATTGACTTGTTACACTCACTGGTAATTTCACGCTCAAGTTCGAGTGATCTAGAGGCTCCAGATGAAGAGGAGGAGAAATACCATTCGCCTGGAATACCTGTAGAGGCACTCGCCAGTTCTAGGTTTAAGGGTTCCTTAGGATCTCGCCGTCCCGAAACCCGGTGACGCTGTAAAGATCATCTGCGACCAACAGCATACACACTAAAAAAGTGCTAATTTCATAGCCGCCATGAAGTTTGTTTCACAGTGTAAAGACACGGACTTTCGACAGTGCTTGCCTCAACTGAATAGACGAAATTAAATCTATTAAATTTATTATTGGAGTATGGTCGCCCCCGACTTTGTCCGTATTACCTTTGTTTTTTTAGAATCCCACAGAAAAATATCTTTGTTTTCGGGACAAAAAGTTTCTTATATTTGTTACTTAATCACGCAAAAACTACTGAACGGATTTGGATGAAATCTGTTGCATATATAGTTTATAACCTTAATTGAGACATAGGATACTTTTTATCCCGGAAAAGTGTCAGGTTCCTGAGGGGTTTTCAAAAACTAACAGACGGCCGCTAGTCTATCTATATATATAAAACTCAAAGGTGACTGACTGACATAGTGATCTATCAACGCACAGCCCAAACCACTGGACGGATCGGGCTGAAATTTTGTATGCAGGTAAATGTTATGACGTAGGCATCCGCTAAGAAAGGATTTTGATCAATTCTACCCCCAAGGGGATAAAATAGGGAATGAAACTTTGTATGAAACTTTGTCAATTTTAAACCGACCGGGCTGAGACTGCATGCAGATATAAGAAGAATCATAGATGAATGTCATTGTCTATAATACAAGCCTGAGAACAAAAACTTTAGTCTACACTTCAGCTCTACACCGAAGCGAAGCGAGGGCGGGCCGCTAGTTTATAATATAAGTAGGGTTAAAGAAGCTATTTACCGAGTGCTGCCAAAATGCCAGCAGCCCAGAACACCTCTCCGCAGAGGGCGGGCAGGAACAGCAGCCCGCCCATGCGGCTGCCGAAGGAGTCTTGCAGCGGGTCCAGCATGGTCACGTAGCCCTGCCGCCGCATCGGGTTTGCGAAGAATATCCCGCCTGGTGGAACGTACAGGCCCATTAGAGACAATCAAGGTACGAGAACTGTGGTGCAATTCTGTTAGAACAAACTCACTTTTTAATGCAGAATCAACGATGTAATTAAAAATTTAAACACATATTTCAAATGAATTTCAAATCACACCGGCGATTTTTTTTGTTCTTATAGAATAGCACGGCAGTATACATCCCGGCAAACTTCTTAAGCAACGACAAAGACAGTAAGCCTGTAAGATAAGATAAGATAATCATTTATTGTCCAGAACTGTGTACAAATGGTTCTTAAAATTTGGTAGTGCCAACAGTTTGCCCATTTCGGGCGTACAATTACATTAAAATAATACTTAGTAATTAAATGTCAGCTACATAAAATAATAATAAATTTACTCTCTAAACTATATTCATACAATCATAAATTAACCAGTTATGTCAAAATTATACATAAATTGCAATTTGCATGTCAATGATCATTAAAATATTCTTCCAAACTATAAAAACATTTCGATAATAACCAGTGCCTAAGCTGGACTTTCTAAAGCTTTAATGGAATTAGGTAAATGATTAAAGACCTTGATTCCAGTTGTTATGGTACTTTTGTTACATATATAACTAGACGACTTATAAATACACATATTATACGCATATTGCAATCGCAAGTTCTTTTTCACTTTGCTTTTTGATAAAAAATGGTCTTTATTTTCTTTTACAAAAACAGAAATTTCAAAAATATAGATGCATGTCAGAGTTAGGAACTTAAAATCTTTAAATACATTTCTCAGTGATTCAAATTTGTCAAGTTTCAGCATGTTACGCAAGCATTTCTTTTGTAATATAAATGTCGACTGTACATTTACTGAGTTACCCCAAAAAATTATGCCATACATCAAAAGTGGGAAGCTATTTTACATACAAAAACTTCTACTAAACGCCCAAGTTTATTTGCCTTTGATTAGTTTTTGCTTAATAAATTTGTCGCTACATATATGTATGTTAATTTTCTACAGTAATTATATTACCTTGTCAACTTTGGTATTGTTTTGTACAGTCATGCAAACTTTCTTTTTAATTATCATTTATTTTATAAGACGACAAGGCCTGCAAGTTATGGCTACTGAAGAAAATTGTTTCTACGAGAAAAATCTAAAAATGGGTTTAAGATTCTGATCATTACAGCATATGCGCTTTGTTATCTTAAAAACGTACTTCTTATTTATTTTTTTGCGTTTATCTGCTTGTGATAATTTTTACTTAAAAGATAAGTACTTAGGTAAGCGGGCATTACTTTTTAGTAGTGCCCGTCATCCTTGATGTAAGTTATATTTTGTAAGTGAATTTGATATATTCACTCCAATTCAAAAACTCAAAAAAGTCATCCAAGCACTAGGCACGCTCCCACATGAACGATTCCGAACTATAGTTTACCATTTATCAATAACAGTCGCTGTATTTTTAATCTCAATGTTTTTACGCTACAGTTAGAACACTTATTGTTTGACTCGGACGTTTGGACCGGTTTTTCTATTTTGTTTAGGTTCTATAAGGATCATATAACTTACCAAAGACAAGCGAGAGGGCGTACCCGAAGGGCGCCTGGCACCACACCAGGCCCGACGTGTAGATGGCCTCCGCGGTGCCGTTGATGTACCCGCCGCCCACCCACGTCGCTGCCGACAAACGGAAAACTCAGCATGTATAGCAACTTATTATTTATTTATTTTTAATTTTTGTTGTAGTAGTGTTGGGTAGGACACGACTTGAAAAAGAGTTTGTAAGAGTAGCCTCTTTTTTGTACTGAACCAGTACAATGTCCTACTTCAAATGAGTCGAGGCGTACCGAAGCTCGACATTACGTTTGTGTGCACGAGTAGCACCACCTCTACGAACTATCAATCTTGCTGGATCCAGCATGCAGGACAGCGCTATTTACGTAAAAGAGACAGAGATACAGATGGATAGTGCGTAGCAGAATTATGAAGAGTGAGTGAGTAACGAGACGCGACTATCGCGACATTTAATGTGAAGTAGTACATTTTAAAATTTTGAGCCGCTCTTACATTTTGACGTCATGTCCGGGACAAATGTACCGCCTCTTGTAAGTCCTACTCAACACTATGCTGTAGTCACTGCAACCTTGAAGATCTATTGTGGCTCGCCGCCAAGTTAAAGTATCTCTTTAAGCCCGACAGCACCAAGAAGCTCAAAATGTGTCTAGCTTTTAGAGATTTGATTTCCTCTGGGCGTATTATATGTCGTCCCAAATGAACACTACGTTTGTAGAGAGAGGTCCGCATTCACATAGAAGTATTTTGGTGTTTCACGCTCCTGGTTGCAGTATTTGCAAACATCAGTGTCACTCAATTTCATGTGAAATTGGTGTCTGTTGAGTTTGCAGTGTCCAATTAAGGCTCTTACGATAGCACGTCTGTTCGGCCTGCTAAGTTCTATTAACTCAACAGTCCGTTTTTTAGAGTAACCCTCTATAAGTGATACAGCAACTTAAGACAATAGAATAGACTTGGGGCAAATGAAGACAGGTTTTTGCGTAGCACCTTAATAACCTAACATTAGGCGGTGTATAATGGAATTGAACAGCACACACATCACTTATATATATATATGTATATTTATATATATCTCGCCAAACATTTAAAAAACATTCAAAATTAATATTACTAAAAATGCAAAGGTTAGGAATAACCACATGTGGTCGTACGGTAGCGGTTTCTGCCGCTTTCTAATAGGCGTGTCACAATATGTGTGTGTTAAATGCTGATGGGTAAATATTAATTCAAAAATTGAATATTAATCTAAATACTAAAAAAGTAATAACAACAGTAATAATTAATAATTTTTGGTGAATGATAATAATATATATAGTTATATTATAATAATTTAATAATCTTTTTAATTTAATAATAATATAATCCAATTTAATTCTCTTAATAATAAATTAATCTGGTCACGTCGATGTCGTTTCACGTAACGCGCTTTCTAGGCAGAACTGAAAACCAGTGCTTTGCTCTTAGAGCAAAGATATCGCTGAGTTTTTGCCTTTGTCTGTCGTTGCGGCACACTGTTACATACCTAGTAATTAATTGTTCTATTTGTTTACTTGAATTTGTGTGCTGTACTGATGGGAATAAATGATTTATCTATCTATTGGCGTGCGTGACGCTCGGGACGCTGCGCACGCATTCCACGCACACGAGCACATATATATATATGTTACGGCTAATAGCCAAAGAACGGCTACACCTAGTTTTAGCCGGCTACAACTAGGAGCAGCCCGCCACATGCGGTTAAACTTAGGTGTATCCTACTTATCTTCGGTTACAACTAGATTTAGCCTTTATTATAGCGGCTAAAGCTAGGTGCAGCCACACACCGCTTGTCATGGCTTGTCTAGGATAAGATATCTTATCTACCGGGGTGATGATACAAATTCGAATCAATCAGGAAACGCAAGATACGAATCTCAAAATAAAACCAAAATCCTTAAGTGAACTGAAAACCTAGTTCTAGCCGATAATAAATAGGATGCACCTAAGTTTAACCACCAGTGTGCGGCTGTACCTAGTTCTAGCCGCTATAATGAAGGCTAAACCTAGTTGTAACCGAAGATAAGTAGGATACACCTAAGTTTACCGCATGTGGCGGGCTGCACCTAGTTGTAGCCGGCTAAAACTAGGTGTAGCCGCACTTCGGCTATTAGCCGTAACATATAAATATATAGTCGTGTGACACGTGAAAAAAGTGTAAGGCTGGATTTAGTGTTACACGTACGGCCCATGCGGAGGACCGTACAGATTATCCGCATACGGGGCATTTGGGCATTTCAGTCCATCGTTTAGTGCTCTCCTGATCACCGTTCGTACAGCTCAGACAAGTCCAGCATCTCAGCAACAACTGAATAATACGTCTGGTCGGTTCTGCGTCCGCTGAGTCCGCGTCCGGAGCACCAAACAATGGCATAATATATCGCCAAATACTGCACATGCATCATTTGTATGCCCAACTGGACAAAAGGGAAATCCTACTCCTCCTGGCCGCGCAGGCCGTGTTGCTCTATGTCCCCGGGCCATGTTCCACTAAGCGCAATAGTTTCATCATCATCATCATCAGCCTATTAATGTCCTCACTGTTTGGGCAGAGGCCATCCCTATGTAAGGCATAGGGAGATTGGGCTATGACCCACTACGCCCTTTTTTTATATACTTCAAAACACACCAATTAGCCAAGCCCCAAAGTAAGCACTGTAGGCTTGTGTTATGGGATACGAGAGTACGGATAGAATACGTATATTTATACATATATAAGTATATTTATATAGAAATACATATTACATATCCATGACTGGAGTACAAATGCTCGTATTCATCACACTAACATCTGCCCCTACCGGGATTCGAACCCGGGACCTCTCGAGTAGGCGACACCTTGACCCCGGCGTTCAAATCACTCGACCACGAAAGTCGCCAATTACTATTATTTTAGGCAGGCGAAGTGGACGACACCCGTATCGTGTATCAAATACTTTTTGATTACTAAAAATAGACGTTCCTCTGTGTATTACACAAAATAGCAGCGGAAGCTCTTTGAGGCCAGCCTGTTACTGAAAATGACGAAATAAATTATGCATGACACTTCACGGGCTATTATTGTTTATTCAATGTATAGAGGGGCTGAGTAGAGGATTATGTTCTACATTTACGCAATGTAACGTAGACCCTTTGATATGTGACCATGAATAGAGTATTTGTAATTCGTGTTTGTAAATAAAAATTGATTAACAAACACACACGTATGCCCTTGATATAATTTCACCTTGCTGTTGGTTCTGGGGTTCAAATATATCGTCACTTCCATAGGAAACTTACGAATTTGAATTTTATAAAACCATAATCTTTATATATATAATTCTTCTGTGAGTGTGTATGTCACTGAACTTCTTTTAAACGACTGGACCGATTTTGATGAAATTTTTTGTGTGTGTTCAAGGGGATCTGAGAATGGTTTAGATTCACAATTTTGTCCGCTGGACAACCCCTATTTTTTAGGGCGATACGAAGTTCGCTGGGTCAGCTAGTCTACTATATAAAAATAAGTCGGGTTTTCCTTCCTGACGCTATAACTCCAGAACGCACGAACCGATTTCCACGGTTTTGCATTCGTTGGAAAGGTCTCGGGCTCCGTGGGGTTTATAGCAAAGAAAATTCAGGAAAAATTATAAAAAAAAATCTTCTTTTAATCACCAAACGAAATATTACATAAAAAGAAGCCATCTGGTGGCGAAACGGAGTTCGCCGCGTTTGCTAGTATCGTATATTAATTTGGTAAGTTTACTATGGGTGCATAAACATTAAATACAGACTCAAACAATCAGACTTTTGGAACCGTCATTGATAAAATTGTGTGACTTTTCCCTGGTGTTGAGTACTCCATTATGTGCAGTGCATATATTATATATACCCCACTTGATGATAATGAATATACCCCACTTGACGTAAAGACGGGTAGTTCAGACATGAAAATAGCTGGTACAGCAGTTCTACCTGCCACACCAGCCATCCTCACCTTGCCAGCCTGCATGTTGCTTCTTCACGCCTCTTTTAAAGGGATCCCATGTTATAAGAAGGAGGGAACACATGAGCGGGCAGAGCATTCCATTTACGGTTAGTGCGACAAAGAAATGAGTCACCAAACTTTGTACGCGTTATATAAAGAAGTTGAACTATCAAAACCCCTTTTTGAAGTAAAACTTCTTTTCGGACGGGGTATAAATTGAAAAATCCTACGGAAAAGATAAAACGGAAATGCGTCACGAGCGTCTACACGACTACAACTACTGCATATATGTGTGTGTGTGTGTGTGTGTGTGTGTGTGTGTGTTTGAGATGTGTGCGCAGCTCTTCCCGATAAGCATGAAAGTTGAAGGGTAACTCGGCGAAGGCTGAAACGCTACGAGCGTAACACGCAAATATCTTATATATAAAATTCTCGTGTCACAGTGTTAGTTACCATACTCCTCCGAAACGGCCTGACCGATTTTTATGAATTTTTATATGCATATTCCGTGGGTCTGAGAAGCGGCTACTGTCTATTTTTCATATCCTTAAGTGATAAGGGTTGTCCACCTATAACGTAGTGTTCTACAACCTACAATACGCCTTCGCGCCAAAATTCAAACTATTGGGTATTGTAACGTAGTGTTCTCATATGGGTTAGGGGGAATGTTATCCCAGGAAATTGATAGAACACTACGTTGCACACCTCTAAAATTGTATCTGGACATTTTTTCTTTTTAATGTCGTATTAAAAACTACATACAACCCTAAATTTTCTCTTCTACCACCTGCCCCTGTTTTTATGGCGGTACGAAGTTCGCTGGGTCAGCTAGTATATGTCGGATGGGCGAGCGGGATATAGGCGGTTGGCCACGTGGTTTTTCTTGATCCGCCATCTTGGTTATTCAATGATATTTCCCGAAAATAAAACTGTAGTCTAGTGACCAAGCTAACGTTTAATTTGAATCTTCTAATCATTTTACAAAATCAGTTATGATTGCAAAGGCACAAACGGATTGCTTTGCGAAGCGTGGAGAGTTCTGCGCTAACGTCCGTTCACTATCGCGGCTCACGTCTGAATGCTGAATGCCGAATGCCCC